AGAAGCCCATACAGTAAGAAAAAAATATAGGTTAGATGCTCTGGCCACGTTAACAAAACCAAAGAAAGTATAGAGTGAATCTGTCAACAAAAACGGCAATGACTTAGTTGCCAACCCAATAATTTACGTCGATGTCGTGACTGTATCCATGACAGACAGGCCCATTTCCCAGTGCGTTGTCAGCACAATAAAATTCTAATTAAAGGGACACACCTCATGACTCATCTAAAAATAAAGATTTTAGAACAAACATTGGTGAACGTTTGAAGTGCGACAATTTAATATTCAATCAATTTATGTGATATGTTGACAGTTAGAACAAGAAGAAACTTTTAATGGAAATATGAAATGCACCTTGGCTTTGACTTTCGACAGTTAAAATCGATTAAGTCGAAATTGTAAATAATCCCACTTATTCTATTTGTTTCTACTATCTCAAATCTAGAAACACTGTTACCATTCCTATGTCGGCAGTGCATAATGAGGACGAATTATGCATGGACCGTTGCAATTCATTACTAAGAAAAAAGTCCAAAAATTGTTTATTTTTCTTTAAAAATATTTATATCAAATGGCAGGCGTTTTCATGGTTATCATTAGTCCTTTAGTTGACTTCAGGCTTTGCAGAGGGGATGGAACATCAAATTGAAAAAAAAACGAGAAAAGGGGAACTGAAGAGTGCTTCAAAGACGAAGGATGAAAATTTGAAAAAATGTGATGTGGTACCGTGGAAGTGGTCGAATAGGTCATGGAGTGGGGTCATGGTAGTTTGTAGTCAACCGCCGGTTAGTAGACGTTTTTGCTGTATGAGTATACGTTGCACAGGGTGCACCACGTGGAGATAAGTCTATCGTACACCCATTTTTAGAAATTGCTTAAAGTCACCACTTGATATAAATTATCCGGTTTGTAAATGTTAATTCGTGAATTGTTTGTGGGGAACAATTTAATATTCGATCAAATTATGTGCATGCACCAAGGTTATGGGTTTCAATAAACAAAGTAACACAAACGGGTATAAAAGGCGGCCACATGTTGATTACGGACCATCATTTCGAAAAGACAGCTAGAACATCTGAAATCAAAGACATGATGGAGTTGAAATTGACAATTCTTTCAACAATTCTTCTTCTTCTCACTCTTTCCAACACGTGGCACACTGAAGCCATTGTTGTGCCGATGGAGAAACTGGAAGAGGACTTGTTCGTTGTTGGTGATGAGGATGAGGATGGTGATGAAAGTGACAATGTGGATTCCACAAGAGTTCCGATCGAGTCTCCAGATTTGGATCACAATAATGGGATTGAAGATGTGAGGATGGAGGAAACAGAAGCAGTGTTGATTCCAGCTGGTTGGAGAAGATTCCGTTCACGAATAAGAAGTGGTCTGCGTCGAATTCGAAACATATATCGAAGAGTTCCAATTCCAATCTTTGTTAGGGTTCCACTATAAATGCCAATGTCTAACCTCTCCTTTGAATAAATAAAGCTTGTTATTATTTTTTCACATTTATCACAAATTTCTTTGTTCAATAAGTGTGTTGTTTGATTGAAATTGCTGTGAGCAGAGATGATAGAACAGTGCTTTGATGGAATCTTTGCCATCCATTTTGTAGAAATTAAGACTCGAAATTAATACTTCTTCCTGTAACAGGTGGGATCCAATTTTCGATCTCAGAAAGCCGACCATTTTGGATATTTCGAATTTGGTTTGGGCCAGTTGGCAATATTCAACGTATTCAAAGAGATGGTGAGGTGAAATAAAGTACTTAGATTAGAACTAGTTTCAAGTAAACGCGATGTCATGTGGGACTTAATTACAATTCGTAGAAGGTGAAATAATGTGGAGAAGTGAGTAATGGCAACTGGTGAACAAGCGATAAGTGCTGTGCTGAGTGAGTAGTCAGTAGATGGCATGGATTATGCATTGGAATACGAAATGGAGTTCTGCGATTTCGTATGCCGTGTCATTGTTAAACAATGATATATTAGCAAAGATTCTTCAAGATTTTTTAGAAGTGTGAGTATTATAGTTCTTTTTTCTTGTGCAAGGTGAATATTTACTAAATGTTCATGCCCTTTTGCTCTTAGGTGAGGTTTCCATTAGAGAGTTGACCAAATATCCGTCAATAAATAGAAATTTACTTTCGAGAGGGAGAATTGAGAGACACTTTTAAGGAACACACAAAGCTAAATATGTGAAAGAGTTTCATGCCTACAAAAGCTGTCGGAAAGGTGAAGTCGTGGATATTCCTAGGGATTTAAGGAAATTCCTTCATAAACCTGTAAATGATAGTTTGAAGTAGTAATGTGGAAAAAATGCCTCATCATTAGTTACTCGAAATTGAAGTTTGAGTTTGAGTTCGCCAGAAACATAATAAGAGTTTGCAAACGTAACACTTCGATTAGGGTTCCTAGTGGACAGAGTTCATAAATGAAGAATCGAGTCTCAGCGAAAGTTACATTTCGATGTTCTATTTGACGAATGATACAAATGATTATCAATAATGCCCTGTGCTCATCAATCGTTAACAGCATCTTAGTACTCAACCTTCGAGGTGAATAAATATCAAATACAATAAGTGTTTTCTGCCACACCAGCCCCAGTATTATTTCATAATTTCTCGTTTAATCAATTGGTTGCATTCATCTATTTCTGACTCCAATATACCATTTTAACAAATGTGAAGTAGTCTTTGTGTCTTTTGCTGGTCGAATTTGTAATGACCCCTTGCGAAAAAAATGAAGACTGATGTGGGAGGCAACAGTTGAAGGAAAGATTTTGACTAATGTTTGGATCTCGAACTCACATGTAGTGTTCATATTATAGATATTTAGATATTGGTAAAATTGACGAAAACAGAATTAAAATGATTGCGTTAAATTGCAATACTAAGAATAACTATCTAATGAAATGGAGTTGCACAAATTTGGGGCAATAATAGAGGTCATTGATGTGATTGTTACATACGCCTTCATCCCACATTCTCATCATGCATTTAACAAGTCATGAATGTTTACAGTATTGCAACAGGTGTAGAGTTTGAAACTTGCCTGATTCATTCAATCCAAACTCTTCCTGGTATTGGGTGATTGGCTTTAGAGTGATATCGGGTTGCGATTAGGCAAATGAAATACTTGAAATGGAAATAGGTTGGGAGTTCGCATCACTTTCAATTGCTTTCATCTGTATTAGAGGTTCAAAGAATGAAAGTTCTGGTCCATCAGTGGCATTTGTGGTAACAAGCAATGCTTATTCTTCACCACCATTCAGATCCTCTGTTTAGTATTTAGATTCGTCGTGGAGAAATCTCATCTATTTGTGCATCGAAACAACTGCCACATATGTTGAATCACCATATAAAATCACTATTAGAGTAAATTTGACTGGAATGATGACTGCTAAAAATAACAGTTCTATTGCCAATAAACGCTCCCAAAGATTATGGTCATCATTCAGAGATGACGCTTTGAGGTTCATATCTAGGCTTGAGATAGGTGTGATGGTAATTGATTGCGAATGCGACAGAATTGATCATGATATGTTTCAGGGCCTGCATTGAGCTGATTCGTGAATACTCGGTCTACAATGTGTTATTTGAATCATATGGGTATATTATATTCCGAAACCTCTTCAATTTACTTTCAAGGAATACCTTCAGCTGCTTTGCTCTTCTTATAGCTTATTATTCCCTCTTTTCCTCTTTTAATCTATTTCTAGCTCCTTCCAAACCTCTCTCGTTGGTTCAATAATCAAAAAGATCTTGGGTTACCTATTTTTCTTGGTAATTGTCATAGCGTCTCCTTTCCATAACCTATTGAAAAGTTACATTCTATGCGAGCTGGTAAAATGGCGTGACATTACCTGGTTAACAAAGATACTGCACATAATTTCCTTGTGAATGTGGAAAATATCCACCCCAACGACAGACAATGACGATAATTCAATTTACGTTGATGTGCAGACGTGGCCAACGGCTTTGTTGCTTAGGCACTAAAACTTCTCTTCAAAAGTTGCCCCCAATCTAAATTTGTGTTGTCATGCAATCGCTTCATTTTTGCGCCCCACAATTTCCTACTCCTTTCAACTCAATTTAACGTTTCGCGCTCGTCTATCGGGATTACAATTAAGTCCAGCATGACAATACTTTTACTTTAAAATAGCTCCAATCAAATTTAATGACGGTAGCTCATAATAACACCTGAATACGTTGACTATTGTTATTTTTCCTACTTCAGAGTCTTAATATCCATCTTGGTCCGCTTTCTGAGATCGAAACCTTGACACAACATTGTATATTTCAAACAATTTAAACATTTTAAAGCAATGTTAAATAAATTAAGAAAAAATACAAAACCTTTTACTCGATGTAGAGGCTAAAACAGTAGCAGTTATAGTGGAACACTAACGAAATTCGGAGTTGGAACTCTTCGGTATATGTTTCCATGTCGACCCTGATTTCTTCTAATTCTGTCACACAATTTTCTCTACCTGGCTGGAATCAATACTGCTTCAGTTTCCTTCGTGTTCAAGTCATCAAACCCAACATTGTATTCCAAAACTTGGGAACCGACAAATTCTCTCCTAGTCTCCACATTACCATCCTCACCTCCTCCAACGAACAAGTCCTCTACCTGTTTCTCCAAAGGCACGACAATGGCTTCAGTGTGCCAGTTGTTGGAAAGAGTGAGAAGAAGAAGAATTGTTGAAAGAATTTTCAATTTCAACTCCATTGAGTCTTTAATTTTAGATGTTCTAGATTTTCTTTCAAAATAATGGTCCGAAATCAACAAATGATTGCCTTTTATATTCATTTGTGTGGTTATGTTTATTGAAATCCACGACAATGATGCATTCACATAGTTTGATCAATTATAAAATCGCCTCAATTAAAAAATTCCCAAATGTTTGTTCTGAAATCTCGATTATTTGTTGCGCAATGGGGTGTGTCACTTTAATTGAAATGCAATGGTGCTGAAGGTTAACTGACCAATAGTGTCACGAGATTGAGGTTACTCGGCCTCCTAAACAACAGACATATCGAGGATGGTTTGAAAGGGTGGAGGAAGATGGAGGAATTGCAGTAAGAACGAATTCAAGAAAATTCTAATTCGGCCTTCTTGCTGTCAACATGCATTCAGGCTCATCTGTAGGTTCTAATATCACAAATGACACAGACAAATTTAAGATGCAGAAGCACCAAAATTTCGATCAGAAAAATTTGAAAGGTAGGGCAGTCGTGAATCAAATAAAACGCCACTCAGGAGACCACTTCTGCTGTTGCTGCTGCTTTATCATCTATTTTGTGCAAATAAACGTTGTTAATTCATTTTCTTTTATTAATTTCAATTACCATTGTCAAAATGGGGTGTGCGATAGACTTAACTCCACGTGGTGCACCATGGACAACATATATTCATACGGCAAAAGAGTCTATTAACTGGCTATTGACTTCTCACTTCCAACTACCACCACCTCACTCTATGCCATTTTCAAATATTCCCACAGTACTCTCCTCACCTTTTTTCTACCTTTGTGTTTGTCTCTTACATCTTTGAAACGCTCTTCTGTTTCCCCCCCCCCTCTCGAATTTTTCATTTTGATGTTCCTTCTCCTCTGTGAAGTCTGAAGTCAACTAAAGGGCTAATGAAAACCATCAAAACGCTTGCCATTTGATATAAATAAATAAACCATTTTCAAAATGTGTAAGTCATGATTGAAAGTGTTGTCAGCAGAGGTTTATCTCCCTCTCCTACTATTACTACGTCGTTCTGTGGGAACTCAATTGAACTTTGGAGTGATGAATCTCAAGAAAGCCGACTCATCGGCCTTCAGTAGACACGATCTTCTAGTACTTATCTTCAAGATTCACAATATCTTCATTTAGTTTCACTAATAATACGCTAATCACTGCCCTAACAGGTAAAAGCGAGTCAATTATTTACACGAGATTGAAGATTTAGGAACTAATACGTGGGCAGGAACTGTGCAAATTGAATGACGACGACACAATTACAAGTATCACTCCCCCCACAAACAATTCACGATTTCACATTTACAAACCAGATAATTTGTATCGAGTGGAGACTTCAAACAATTTTTAAAGAAAAATATACTATATTTAGCCTTTTTCTTAGTTATGAGCATAATTCGTCCTCAATATGCACTGCCGACATAGAGATTCCTCCAGTGTTTCTAGAAATGGAGATAGTAAGAACAATAGAATCATTGGAAGTATTTCCAATTTCCAATTCATCGTTTCTTTGGTTTTAACTATCTAAAATCAAAGACAAG